CTGTGATCACACCCATGGTTCATTTAACCCTGTTATGGTTTTGAATATCTGAACCTTCTGTGGCAATCACACAGGGTCCCTGGACGTTTCACTGTCTATTGATCCCTGTACCACCACTTTATTTCTCACTGCCACCACCCAGGCCCTACCTGGTACAATATTGAGTCCAGTCAGGGTTAAATTGGAACATAAACTTCTGTTTATTTATTGCAGTTTAACAAGCATGTGGATTCATAAACGGTATCGGTCAATTACATTCATGGGGGGGGGGGGTCTATCCAGACCTATAACTTCCGCTACCTGCTCTCACTCACTAAACCACCTCTCAGATATTTACTTGTCTTCCTAGCCCCTAACTGTTCCTGACTCAGCTTATTGCGCTACACCAACCTAACCTACCCACAAATTCTATCCCAATTCACTCCCACTCCAATCAACCACCCAACTACCAATGAACTCTCCCCTTTGCCCCTCCCAGAGCTGGTTTTATAATCCCTCTGACTCCACCCCCGGGTCCTGATTGGGTAACCTGTTTTAACTATTTCACCTCCAGCACTCTCATATGTTAACGTCACACCTGCCCCAGGCAACTAATCATGTTTATTTTCAGGCAACTAATCACAAATTGAAACTATGGTTTGTTGCTTGCTTACAAATCTTAGCTTGTTTTATAAGTGATACATCATTATATCCAATCCCAGAACTCCTGTTTAATTTTGGTTTGTATCAGCACCCGAGGCACTTTATAGCACAGAGGTATAAGACAAAAGCACCTGGAAAATGGAAGCATGGCTAAACAACTATTGGTGATGTTTTCCTATAGATGGGAGTAATTTCTTCACATTCTGACTCACAACAGAGGAAAATGTGCAGTTTTCCTCTGCTTTTTAAAATGTTTTTATATATCCTCTTTCTTTTTCTTATTTAACTTTAACTCACTAAAATAAATCTCAAAATGTAACAAAACAAACAAACAAACAAACAAACAAAAACCAAGAGACTTTCCCCACCACCCACCCAACTCTTCCATGGGAAGGCCTTCTTCTCAAGCTCCCTCACTTAGTTTCACAGCTGTTTTATAGGGAGTAGACATTTAAAGGAGCCTCTCTGCTACCTTATGAAAAATTCTGCAGGGTGGAATTTTGAAAGTATAACTAACTTAACTTTCAGCTAGCTACTCTGATTGTTATACTTGCTTACTGACATTTTCTACTTCATATTTAAGTTAGATAGATAGATAATACTTTATTCGGCTATAAGCCCACAAGTCATATTTAAGTTATTCTCCCTGGTTTACTGTTGGGAAATTTTAACCTGTGAGTGCAAGACACTTCACTTAACTGTGCAACAATGACTGGGAGAGCTAGCCCTTTGATTCCACAAATTCAACATTTTGGTCAGCAAATAACTTGTTGTTTTTTAAAAAAAATGGAGATTCAGGCAGGAGTCCTGCAGACAAAAAATATTTTATTCCACTGCGGTAGAGGGAAAAGTTTAAGAATTTCTGATCTCAAGACACTGTTGGGTGTGTCTGTGCAGGAGATAGAGGGAAACTGAAAATCTCTGAGGACAATTCCTCACACTATTTGTACAGTCTGCCAATAATAAGGGAGCTGGTAATACAGTGTGGCAATAACTGTACAGGAATGCTAGAAAAGCCTAAAAGGAAACCACAATCAGATTACCACTGTTCCTCTGCTCATCTGCAAAACTGTTCATAGCTTGTTCAACAAACTATGACTAAACATTAAGTGGAACACGGCAAATGTATGGTCTTATACTATATCCAGCCTATCTCTGTCCTTTTTCAAGACTTCAAAAGGAGTTTATTGTTTTATAGCTGGGCTTGCATTCACAAATTTCTAGAGTCAGCATTAAATGTAAGCCCTGCCACTTTCCAGCAGGCCCAGATTCACCAGGCATCAAATGACTTTGGGTGATAGACCTGCCCACCTGTCAACAGTTGCCTGTGGTGAGGTGGGCGGGAATTTTGTTCTGACTAACCAGACAAATGCAGTCCTCCACCCCTGCTCTACAAAGAAGAACGTGCATGCAAATAATATGCAACAGCATTCCACTGTCTCCCTTGCCTGGAAGAGTAGGTGTGGGGCAAGCAAACCAGGACTGCTCATCTGAAAGACTGACCACGGATTGTTCAACAAACAATCGTTAAAAGAAACTCTGCAACCTTCTTAACTTCCCCCTTGAAACCCAGCTATGCTGTTCATGAAAAACAGAATAAATAGTAAGAAGGGGGTCATTTTAGGTAAGTAGTAAGCCTTCAATAAGAGAGAAAATCAAAGATGCAATCAGATCAGGATGACAATAATCGTGGCTCAACACAATACTATTTTCATGATCTAATTTGGCTGTCTTTGGGATTTATAAAAAGAAAACATTGTAATTTTCAGCAGACATTGACTAACAGGCGCTTAAAACTACAAAGAAAACAAATTGAAGGCTTTTGGCTCAGTAAATCCGAAAATGTGTGTATATCTCTGAGTAAATCACTAGCTCTTCAGAGGCATCTTTGCAATTTCTGCAACTTAGATATACAAAAAGAAAAGGCATTTCTTCAGCACAATGTATTGCACCAACTTGCATTGATCAACAGGAAGTTAGCACTTGTTCTAACTTGGAACTCACAAAAGCTCTCAGAATTCTCTTCTGAAGAAATTATACAAGAATTCACTTTTTCAGTAACAGAAGGTTTCTAGATCATTCCACATGGTGAATCTGTATTGCAGTTTTACGAAACATAATTCAACCTATAATGCACATCACCTGTAAAAGTGCTTGACCCAGCCCTCTAATATGAGCAGAACCACCATAACAATGTGTCTCCTATTCTCAATAACCCACAGAGCATAACAATCAATGGTATCTAAATAATCTGAGTCTCACTCCTCTTGCCTCTCTTCATGAAAAAAGGTAAGCAATCAACGCATCCAATATTATTTTAGTGTCAAACCCTAGCCTGGAGCTAGACTGAAATGGGTACAATCAATTCTCAAGATATTCATCCCAAAAGCTGTATTTGCAACTAGGTAACGGTTGTTGCATTCTACAGAGTCAAGTGAGTGTTTCTTCAGGATTGGGCTCGCCACTGCCTCCTTCAGAATTGCCTGAACCATTTTCTCTCTTAAAGAGGCATTGGTCACATCCTGGACTTACCTAATTATTTCACTTTAGCTTGACAAAAGTTGCCAAAATAGGAAAGGCTCAAGAATATTGGTGGTAAGCTGAACCTCTCCTAAAACCTCATCCACATTCTCAGACTGAAATTAATTCCATCTAGCCTAAACTGTTCCCAGCTAACCAGACTAGATTATTCTCTCCAGAGGAGATGTAACAATGATGGATTCATCTTCACAATGGAGCAACTAGAAGACCACTGTTTTCTGGCCAGGTATAACTTGTCAAATCAAATCAAATCCCTTTATTGGCATCACAGTATAAAACTTTTCAGGTCACTGGGATAATTAAAAGGACAAGAGTGAAGCTGTTGAGGATCATAAGGTCACACTGTGATCGTGTGCACTTAGATCTTCTGCTTCGCCCTGTCAGTTCCCTGAAAGGATGGTTTGTTGGGAACCTTTTTGGGTAAAATTGTGGCTAATAAGGAAGCTTCTAAAGCAGTGATATCTTTGTCCCAATCTGCCAGGAGAAACCTCATTTGACTTCTTCTCAGAATTCTAGGCCAGAGGTCCAACATTTTGCTCAGCATCAGTTGGTGAGATCTACTGTGTAGAGAGCAATAGAAGAGAATGTGGTCCATTGAATCAGGTACTTCTTGGTTGCAGGCACACAGACAGGCTTGATATGAGGTATATGAGAATCTACCTTTGGTCACTGCAGAAGGGAAAGCATTTAATCTCACGAGCATAAAGGCTCTTCAGTGGGAAGGGAGTAGTAGATCCTTTAGATATTTGGCACAGATTCTGTAGGGTGTTGTAATACCTAAGGCCTCAGGAGAACAGGATCTCAGAGTATGAGGTAACAAGCGCTGTCTTTCGTGGTCGTAGAGCCGCTGCTTGTAATGAACTCATTCTGGGACTACAACAAAATTTTGGTCATTGGACCTATCTTGAAGGAATTGCATTTTCTCAGTTATATAGGAAGACTATGCTAGTTCCTAAAAATGGTCATTCTGAACACTGGCTGTACAACTGCAACAGTTCGCTGGTGGCTGCATCCCATGCTTCCTCTTACCTTGTTCCTTAGGCTTGGAGCTGCTTAGATCTGTTTTCTGCATAGAAACAATCTTAAGTGCCATGAAAATGAAACATGGGGAAGTACATCACATAGCTTTTTCCAAGAGCCAAACATGTAGATCAAAGCTCCAGAAGTGGATCCAGATGTCATGGATCTTCTTTCAACAATGTTATAGCGTCTAAAAATGCTTTCAGTCAGGCTGGCAGATTGCCTGTGTAACTTCCACAGAGCTCCTGGTAGCCATATCCCAAGCTTTTTATTCATGCTCCAGTCTTGGTTTTGGCTAGTAATTTTGTTCTGTAATTGGGGAGCATAGAACCAGGGTAGAAGAACACTGTGATATGTTCAGGTGCTGCAATTTGGCATGTACACTATCCTGGAGCCAATTGCCCTGGCTGGGTTCAGAATTTCTCACTAAATGCCACCAACAGGTCTTATGTGGATCTGACCTAGACCATATCCATACCACAAGCATTAGTTTCTTCATTCTCAAGGGCTTGAAAAACTTGGTTCCCAAGGGATACCATGGTGCAGATGCAAGCTCCCAATTTGCCAGTGAATTAGCTACTTACAGCTACATGGAGAATGTTCATCTCTTCAAGAAACAAATGAGATTCAGTTTCTTGCCACTAGGTTTTATTGGCTACCAAGAACATTAACTCTTGACTGACTGCACTTCTTATGTATATTAGATGGTTGCCTTATCTGTGCAACAGTGCACAGAAAAGTACATTGCTATGGTATCACTTTTTAATTGTGATTTTTCAAGTTCTGGCTTTTTCTTTGCATGCCATATTTCTTTTATTCCTGAGTCCTGTCTTGGTTTCCAATAAATCTTCACATGTGTTTCTTCAACGGATGAATCTCTTTCTAAGTTAACCACTACCTTGATCCAAACTCCATGTCCTTTTTTGGACCTCATGTTTGCAGACATTCCTCTTCACCTGTTTTTATTTATTTACATTTACACTCCGCCTTTCTTCCATCATGGAAGCAAGGTGGTGTACATGTGGTTCTCCAATTGTCACCCTCTCAAGCAATGACTACACCCCAAGCTGCTTAGCTTCAGCAAGGTAGTGGCTCCATGTGCCTTCAAACCGCGTCCTAGGACCTGGATGTGAATGTCAGTCCCTGCCAGTGGTTTCTGCATCTGTTGTGTTCAAAATGTTCTAGAGTCTTTGACTATGAGGATCGCTACGAGTCTCAATAAAGCAAGCACCAAGCAGGTTCCAGCCATTCATCACAAACACTCTATTTTGTGTAACTGTGTCAAGAAAGTAATGAGAATTTGGCACAAGAATAAAGCAGTACACCCTTCAAGCGACCCAAAAAGGATAAAAGGAAGTAAATACAGAGTCAATAATATCTCACACTTATCTCCACCTTCTGGCCATATGCAACTGGAGGAAGACACAGATAATAAAAGCATGTGTTTTACAATTCACTTCCCCATAAAACTGAGAGGCTGTTTCCCCCTGCTTGCTCTTCCAAAAGCCTCTTGGTTTGTTTCTAGATAGGTATGACACACCAAGTCTTATATGCTAGCATACCCCTTAATGAATTAACCAAAAGGAAAATTCATATGCATTCAGTGATACTGCAAGAAGTGGCACGGCTGTTAAGGAATGGGTCACCCACAGCTGTCTACTTAAGGCTGAATGAAACCAGTTCTGTTAATTTACAGAAGGCATGGCTATGATTACATTAAGGCATATTCACCAGATCAACATACAAAGTAACCATTTCAGCTACATTTCAGGCTAGAAAAAGGTTTTCACTACACCTGTCCTAATTATGGCCACAATGAAAAACTGGGATAAACTGCAGTAAACTTCCGAATGGGCCTTTTTTGTGAAGATGTTACAATATAATTGCTGTTGAAAGTCAAAATTAAAGTTAAAATGAACTATACTTATTTGAGGCTCATCAATGTTAAAGGTGTAACTTACACCTGTAATTCATTCCTGGGACATTTTGTGTTGTGAAATGAAAAGATGCAATGAGTAAATATGAAAGGAGTGTTCAATAAATATACATCTTCCTCTGTATACATATTGCCTCCTGTGTTGTAGCTGGAATTTCACACATCAATGAATATTAATAATGCTATGAATGTTAATAATTAATGTTTGTAATGCTACACACAGTCGCCCTTCAACTGAACTTTGATAAAGTTTTCCTGTTTTTCTGGATTTATCTCCAACAGTGACAAAGGATTACTAGAAATCACGGCACTTCCTACCAAACAAAGATTATATCCTCATGGGAAGCTATTCTGCTCTTGAAGCATTTTTGTGCCTAGTGAAAATTGTGACATTACACCTCGAAGGCAGGCAAAGATGAAATATGCAGGGGAAACAAATGCCCTAATTGTGACTTGGGTCATTGCATTAAGTTGGTTCATAATCCTCATGGATGTGTGTATATCACAGTTCCTTACTAGCAGGGCTTTTTTTCAGCCAGAACTTACCCAAACGCAGTTCCAGCACCTCTCAGGTGGGCGCCATTACCATTATATGAGAACAAGGAAGACGTTCGTGGTGGTTTCCAGCATCTCTTTTTCTAGAAAAATAGCACTGCTTACTAGTGCAGAATAGGGAGTGCCCCATCCACTTTTGACTGAGGTCCCATCCAAGGCTGGCCCAAGGCATTTTGTTGCCTGAAGCAAATGGTGAGAGGTCACCTCCTTCCAGTCCCATCTATCCCTGTCCCCTACGAGTTTGAAGCCCCACCTCCACCAATATTACTCCTAAGAAAATGGAAGAAAATGAAAATGATTATCCCTACTTTAACTCATGCTACTATAAAAACATGAATGAAAAGTGTGCAGGCAAATGCCTATTGAAATCTCAGAAGCCAGAGAGGGTGACTTCAGGGGTGGAAGAAGGGGGTGCGGTGGGTGTGGACCACCCCGGGTGTCACCACTGAGGGGGGCGACAAAATGCCGGGCGGCACTCAATGCAGGGCCTGCAGCGCACCTGAGCCACTCATCTCTCCTGGGAGAGACGTGGTGGTTTGGGTGTGTGCAGCTTCTGCGCTGTCCAAACAGTCCACCCGCTGCCTCCCCTCCAGCTGTAGGGCGGCTGAGTGGGAGGAGGCAGGCAGACTCCGGAGGCCCCACAGTGCACCCTGCTCTCACCCCTATGGGTGGCTCCTCCGCCGCTGGGTGACTTAAACAGTAGTTGTGAATATCACTTTAGAGCGCTACATTGACCACCCACATTGAGCAAAATCAAAACAAATTGTGCAAAACGGCAAATGCTGGAGAATTAAGCAAAATAAGAAAAATGTGTACATTTCCCCAATGTTTATTATTTAAAGGACACATTAGGTAGGTAGGTAGGTAGGTAGGTAGATGAATACTTTGGCATCAGTGCACAACATTTATGCCTTACTGTGCAGACTCACAAGGTGCTAGCAGAAGAGTAGCTCAAAGCATGTGTGCCTTGTGAGGATCAGGTGTTTTTTCATGCAAATTGAAAAGAGGAACTGCACAGGTAGAAAGAGCAGCCAAGAATGCTACCACTTCCCATAGTCTGGTACAAACCACAGAATTCCATTCCAAAATAAAAATAAGGCAAAAAGCAGGATGGCTTGTCTGTTGGCCCTTTTTTTAATCACAGGAGCACATAGCCATAAGGGAACCAGAACAAAACCTGTGTTTTCATTATAGCAAAGGAAATTTCATCAAACTTTTAACATCTCTGCAAAACAAGCTACACCTACCAAATCCCCTCTTATGGACATATGCTATACTGGAGCACTGTCCTCCTTTACGTGTATTCAACCTGTGGAACTCTTCAGTCCAGAAGACAGCTTCAACATTTGTAAAAGGGGATTTCCCCACTAGTGTGTGCATGTAAATGAGAGGTAGCAAACATGGTGCCCTCCAGATGTTGATGGACTACAACCAGGGTCAGCCAAAGACATTCTGACACCTGAGGTGGACTGCAAAATGTGTCAAGGAAAAAGGGATGAGGAAAGACCTATGTCAGGAACAAGGGGATGGGGCAGAGTGTTTGTACCGGGAACTGTTACCCTGGTAGATCCTGCCATCTGACTCATGGGTGGGCCGGCCCTGACTACAATGCTCATCAGCCACAGCCAACATGGTAATGGGAGCTGTAGTCTAGCAACATCTGGAGAACACTACAGTGGCTACCCCTGATGCAGATGTGCAAACATACGCAAGCACATAATAGTAGTGTTTACAGTCCATTCTACACACAAATACAAAGATATGGAGTAAATTTGCTTACTCCTCCTCCTGACCCAATCAGCGAGTAACACAAACATTAGTTGAAAAGTGTCTTGAGAAGTTGCCAACTCCCTGGCAACTTTCCTAAGTAGGTATAAGAGCTATGACATTAGATCAATGTTGATGCTTGTAAGAGAACACATTAATGCCAATGTTTTACTTGATATTAGTCCAATTTCCTCCACTGGGGATTAAAATGTATGCTATGTCAAACAGCTCTTCCTAAAATTTCTCTGTGCAACAATGTTATTTATTCTACCCTTTTCCTTCCCAACACTACTAGCCTGTTAAAAAAGTCTACAAAACAAAAACAGCCACAGTAATAGTAAGCAATAAAAAGTTACTAATAAGCGTCGTCCATCACTACATTTCTTGAAGTGATTAGATTTCATGTTTATTTGTTTTTAACTCCACATAACAACAGACCACTGTACAACTTTAATAAAATCCCCAATAAACCAAGTCTACTCCATTCAATGCATGTTGCTTTGGTACACAAAAGCTGAATGCAGAGCCAATGAGCAGGTGAAGGACTGCATCCTTCACATGGCATTGGATTGCAATCAAACCCACACTTAAGCCTGCAACCCAATGCACTTACTCCCAAGTAAGAGTGCATTGCATTGCTTACTTAGTGTGCATTAGACTGCATCCTTCATACAGCATTGGCTTGCAGTTCAGTCTTAATTTGACAGGACTTATTTTGAGTAAGCAGGCACTGACTCAGAATTCAAAAGAAAAATAAAACTGCAGAAGATGGAACAGATAAAAGTGTTGCTCATTTTGCAGTTCTCTGATTTGTCTTGTGTACTACACTGCTTTCCTAAAACCAGGTTTCTAAGCCAACACTCTTCCTGAAATAATTACACATTTTATTACGCTTCTATGCAAATAGTTACTGCACTTTCCTTACACTAGTAATAACTATACCACAAAACAGGAGACTGATGGGAAGCAACTAATCCAAATGTTAACAATGTAATTCAAGAGGCTCCATACCTTTATGCAAGCAAGTTAAATTAGTGGAACCACCATCTGACCTGTGTTTGTTTTGCACGTCGCCATCATAACAGTTCCCATAAAAATGCAACAGGAACAAGAGAATCAGTTTGGAGAAGCACAGCTACTTGTAAAAATCCCTCTCCCATTATGATGTATGCAGGCAAGAGAGCCGAAAAGAATGCAAGAGTTCTCTCGCACACACATAGGGTGATCAGTATTGCAGAAAGCGCTTTACTCCCAACAAGGGGTGCATGTGAGAAAAGCTAACGGCTCCCTCCCAGCGACCCAACCATTAAGGGTCTCTGGAACGAACAATGCATTCACTCCGGCTTTCATTTTCCACACTGGAAAGCCACAGCAGGCGGCAGAGCAATAAAACGACTGGCAGATTTATCTGCCTGCTTGGTCGGCTGCGGAGACAGATGGGAGGGAAAGGGGCTTCGGCGGCAGCAGCAGCAACAAACCCGGAGTGTTCCAGTGCAGTCAGGGCGCAGTCTCGAGGTTTGCTCCAGGCTCCGCAGCTCAGCTACAAGGCCGTAGATGTAGCATCTGCAAAGTTTTGTGCTCTCTGGGTTCTTCTCCCCCAGTAGTGATCTGACCAGTTCCAGTGCTAGAGGCTAAAGTGGATTTGGCGCTGTGTGTGTTTAGACGCGCACGTTCCCCTCGTGGTAGGACAGAAACCCTTTTGATCGCCCGCTGCTAAACCTGTTTGTGGGATCCCAGCTTTTCTCTGCAGCTGTTTCCAGGACGCTCCTCCAGCAGATCCTCACTGCCTTTTTTTCTCCCACACCCACACGGTCAGACACCGAAATAACCCGGAAGGCTGCTGGGATTTGGAACGAAGAAGCTGGAAGTTTGAAGACTGCCAGCCGAAGCGTACTTACTTTAAAGCTAAACCCACCGAAATGACTGCAATGGGCTCCCCCAGTTTTGTTTCGCTAAAGAGGAGAGGGTCGTTCTCGCCTGAGCCAGTGGCCAGCAAGGCGCGCGCGAACACGCCAAGGCACACACTTTTCCACACTCAGTTTTCAGGCACGTAGGAAGAGCGGAGCTCCCCCCCCCCCCCCACCGGCGAGACACGGTCGTCGTGACTCCCCCCCCCCACCGCCCCTTTATTTTCCTCACATCCAAAGTTGATAAGCACATGGAGGGAAGTTTGCTCCGCAAAAGCCGCCACCATTCCCAGCGCCTCCCTGGCCGGCCAGCCTCTCTCCCCGCGCAAATCCAATGAATGGAAAGGAAATCCCCTCACGGTCTTCCCCTCGGACTTACCCGACGTCCAAGGGTGCAACTTCGCCGCAGCCGCCTCGCGGGTTTCCCCCGGCTGGTAAATCCCCGGTGCCCGGCAGGAAGCGGCCGTGAGCGCGCTCGCGCTTGGCGTCTCCGCCACCTCAGCCTCTCTCCGGCCACCTCAGCGCGGGCGTCCCCCTCCGTCCTCCCTCCCCTCCGCAGGCCTCAGCGCGGCCAGTCCAGGAGGAGCGGAGGGACCTCGCCTGCTCGGCAGCTTCCCGCGGGAGGGAAGAAGGAGCGGTGTGGAGCGAGGCTGCCTCCTCGCTCGGTCCTGCCCTGGACCAGCCCACTCGACACGGCCGTCCCCCACCAACGTCTGCCTTCCTCTTCTCTCTCCTCCCAAAGCCGGTGGATTAAAAGGGGGGACGAGGCCGGCGGCGGCGGAGGAAGGGAGAGTGTTGGAGAGCGATTGGGGCGCCCTGAGGAGAAGCCGCCAGCGATTGCGAGACGAGGACTGTCCCTCACCAAAGGGGAAAGGAGGGAGGTCTGGGAGGGAAGGGCGGGATGCGGGGCCCAAGTCAACGTACGAGGAGGGGGGGTACGGGGTCGAGGGACAAAAAGGAGGAGCACACGGGGAACAAGTGTCAAGGTAGTTTTCCTCTGTTGGATGGGAATATTATATTCATGTACACACATTCACACACTTTGGCGTACAGCAAGAGAGCCGGCAAGAATTGCGAAGCTCGAAGAAGACCCGAGGGGATAGCGGTGGGGGCGCCCCATGACTTCTTGTCGTGGGGTCAGGGAGCTAGGTTCCTGAGGTAAAATGTGAGGCTTCGTGAGGGGGGGAGAGTGGGCGCAAGTTTGAAGTCTGAGGAGTGATACGCGCAGCTTCCCTTCTCCCCGAGACATGGAAGTGTTCCTTTCATCTGTTTGTCACGACGTTGTAAAAAAAGAAAACGAGGGTGGAAAACCTTTCAAGGTAAAAATATACACATGCCTGCTGTCTGTACAGATGTGTGTGTGTGGTGTACAGTAAGAGGCAAAAACGATAGGAGTGCGTGAGGTAATGGGGAAGGTACTCTTTCTGAGGGAGATTTCTTCAGGTGGTGTAAAAAGATCAGGGGGCAGGATAAGGGCAGATGTAAGGCATCGAGGTCCCTGCGGGAATACACGTGTGAAATGCCTTCCCACGTGAAAGCGGAACAGCCCATCCGAGGAGAGACCGCGCCAGGCTCCCGACTCGGAGCGGCGAAGCGCAGGGTTTGGTCAGCAGCGAGGCTGCCCCGCGCTGCGAGCCAAGGCAGAGCGTCCCAAGAGGCGGGGGACGAGGTCAGCGGCTGTGTGTGTTGATAGGAGGGAGGCCCCACGGCTCCCAGCAGCGGGCGGGGCGGAGTGAGCGTGGCAGACACAATAAAGGGTTCATGCATGGAGCACGGCTGGGGCGGGCGGGAGGAAGAAAGGCCCGCGTGCCGCGGGGGATACGGAACTCCGTCTCTGCTGCTCATTACGAGGGAGGGACGGAGAGGGGACAGCAAGGCCGACGAAGCAAACGGTCGCGGCGAAGCTGGCCTCGGGGGAAACCCAGCACTGGGCAGGAGAAGAGGCTGCTGCGGGAGGCGAGGGAGTTCCCGCCAAGCCCAGCTACTTTTTGGCGCGCGCGCGCTCTCTCTCCCTGCTTGATGTGTGTGTGTGAGAGAGAGAGTGAGTGAGAGACAGAGACGTTAATGGTACTATTAGCTTGGTGCCTCCCTGCCGAAGACGCTGCCAAAAGCACCAAACGGAAACCGAGTGCAGTGCTGAGCAGCAGTCGTGTCCCTCGGATATTATTGGACACCCTCCTCGCTTGTCTCAGAGGGAAAGGAAAACAGCAAGCAAAGCATGAGACTGTGCCTCAAAGGAAGAGGAAAAATATAACACAGCACTGTGTTAAGTGTGGGTGTATATGGGTATACATTGTGCGCTATGATCCTGTTGGTGGTTTGCTGTTGTGGCCTGATAAGTCTCAGTATTTTATGGGTTATTAAGAAAAAGACACCTGTTGAGCGAATAAATTGAAACTTGGCATACATAAGCCACCCAATGAGGCCTACAAATGTGGCAGAACTGGCCCTGTGTTTTATTTATGTAAAAATTTACATACTGCTTGATTGTAAAACACACAAACACAAAATTCTAAGCAGTTTACAACTATTCTAAGTGGTTTAAAACAATAAACATTGCCTGTAACAGTGCCACATAAGAAGTGCTGGAAATGGACACATTCACTTTTTTCAGTTTTGAAAAGGAGTATCATATATTTCTTTCAAATTTTGGTGAAAACTGATGTACAGTGGTACCTCGGGTTACAGACGCTTCAGGTTACAGACGCTTCAGGTCACAGACGCTTCAGGTTACAGACTCCACTAACCCAGAAATAGTACCTCAGGTTAAGAACTTTGCTTCAGGATGAGAACAGAAATCATGCTGTGGCGGCAGTGGGAGGCCCCATTAGCTAAAGTGGTACCTCAGGTTAAGAACAGTTTCAGGTTAAGAACGGACCTCCAGAAAGAATTAAGTTCTTAACCCGAGGTACCACTGTAGTTTATTTGGACTTATTTAGAAACCAAATCTTTCTTTGGTTTGGTGAAGTTTTGAGTGGCCATTCAAAAGTCATTAAGGTTTCCCTGTCCCTTTAAAATCTATGGCTGCAACTATTAGCAAAATAAGGCAGTGCATACACAGTTTAATTTTTGAACTGAGAATTTTGCCAGCACACTAGTGTTTACAGAGGGAGCCGCCAAGCGGATGCTCTGTACAATGTCTGTTCATTTAGTTATGGGATATAACAGTGTGGTGCAGTTTCTAGTTAAGGGGTCGCCAATTTTGGGGAGCCTCACGATATCTTTCTTTGGGGCTCTGGATTACCTGAGAAACTACTGAGAGATGAGGATGGGGTGGTGGAGCTGTCCTCCGACATTGCAGCCGCTTACCTAGAAGGTGTCGGGGTGGGGCAGATTGGTTCAGCGTTTTTAACTTCTTTTTTAAAACAAGTTCAGAATGCACTGCCTGTGAGCACTAACAGCAATATTAATTTAAAGCAGTTGAAAACATATTCTGGGAAAGAATGTTAGAGAAATGTATAAAATGGATCCATTAATCTAAAACAAGTTACTTCGTATTCTAAGTATGGGTGCAATCCTATCCTGAAGATTCATAGGCTGTCACTGCAGTTGCAGAGAGGAGCCAATATCCATGGAATTACAGTAGTACCTCAGGTTACAGACGCTTTAAGTTACAGACGCTTCAGGTTACAGACTCCGCTAACCCAGAAATAGTACCTCGGGTTAAAAACTTTGCTTCAGGATGAGAACAGAAATTGTGCTCCGGCGGCGCGGCGGCAGCGGGAGGCCCCATTAGCTAAAGTGGTGCTTCAGGTTAAGAACAGTTGCAGGTTAAGAACGGACCTCCAGAACGAATTAAGTACTTAACCCGAGGTACCACTGTAAATGTCGGCAGGTAAATCCTTCCCTCTCACTGTGCTTGTATGTTTCCACCAGAGGAGGAATAGGACACAGTGGAAGTTCTACCAGCATCAGTTGTCCCCGCTGATAGATTTGCAGCCATAGGATTGGATAGCTCAGTTGGTAGAGCATGAGACTTTTAATCTTGGGGTTGTGGGTTCAAGCCCCACATTGGGCAAAAGAGTCCTGCATTGCAGGGGGTTAGACTAAATTTACCCTCATGGTCCCTTCCAACTCTACAATCCTATGATTCTATGGTTGCTCGATCCATGCATTTTATTACGCTGCTTCAAAATAATTGTGCATTGTGTTATTCATCACAACTGGACCAATAAGAGTTAAAAGAAACCCTTGGAAATGAGGTTAGTGTAAACAACCAGATAATATATCATGCTGAACATTTTACTGCGACTAGCTTCAGTTTTTCTGTTGTAGACATTGATGCTGCAATGGGATACACCGTAACACTGCCAAATGCTTCCCAGTATTATTAAATTTAACTTCACCACTCATCTACAGAGAATTATTAAGTTTCAAATAGAAACTAATTATTCTGGTGTGTCTCAGGGCCGATTCTGACATAATGTCTTTCCCCCACCCACCCCCAACAGCTGAATATAGTGGAATACTCTCAGAGGAACATATGTGAAGGGGGTGAATACTATGTCAGATTGAAAAATCCACATGTATTTTGCTGAAAAAGATCTGCGAGCAGGAAATTAAATTCCTAACTGCTCTAGCAGTATTATGCAAAATAATAAAACAGCAAGGAGTTTGTAAATACCCCATAGTAATAACTTAAGTGTCCGCAATATATCTGCTGATTTCATGCCATAATCCAAACAAGTGTGTTCAACTATTTTGTGCTGTTACGTCGTTCTTCTCTATAAGAATTAGAACAACTGCATTCAGACAGATGCATTGGAAGGGTCAGCACACGACTAGATTGAGGCCTCTCTTTCCTCCTTCCCCTCTTTTCCACTAGCATTTGGTTGTTCTCATACTGTATAAGGGTTTAGCACCTATGGCGATAGCATCCATGTCAGTACCTCCTATGGCACCCTCGTGAAAGAGGTCAGCAAATATTACCTACAATCTACAATACATGAGAAACTACATTTTTTCCACTCACTGGCACTCACTGGCACAGGTGTAGCCTCTCTTACATTGAAAAGCTGCTCAAACAGGCCCACATTTCATTGGAAAGCTGGGATTGGAAATGTATTCTCTCTTCCATTCTGCACAGAGAACTGCAAAGGCTCTTTTCTGTGGTAGGCAGTGTAGGTGTCTTTTTCTTCATTGCTGAGTGGACTGATGCAGGGGCAAGTCAGCACCATTTTGTGATGCTTTATATACTACTACTACTACTACTACTACTACTACTACTAAAAATAATAATAATTTATTATTTATACCCCGCCCATCTGGCTGGGTTTCCCCAGCCACTCTGGGCACCTTCCAACCGAATATTAAAAACAATACAGCACCAGACATAAAAAACTTCCCTAAACAGGGCCACCTTCAGTTGTCTTTTAAAAGTAAAATAGTTGTTTATTGCCTTGACATCTGCTGGGAGGGCATTCCACAGGGCAGGCGCCACTACCGAGAAGGCCCTCTGCCTGGTTCCCTGTAACTTGGCTTCTCACAGTGAGGGAACCACCAGAAGGCCCTCAGCGCTGGACGTCAGTGTCCGACCTGGATGATGAGGGTGGAGACGCTCCTTCAGGTATACAGAACCGAGGCCATTTAGGGCTTTAAAGGTCAGCACCAACCCTTTGAATTGTGCTTGGAAACGTACTTTATCGCTTTCTGCGCATTTAGATGTGGCAGCCAATTCCTGATGTGCAGCCACATAGCAGCTGTTTTGTGGCTGGTGCCCATGACAGTTTCTAAAAGTTTCAAGAGTGCCCGTTGGCCCCAGAAGCTTGTGCTATAGCATCTAAGCTATTAATTTCAACTGGAGGCCAAGGAGGCATCTCCATATGACCCCAACCTATAAATGCTTCCTGCAAATAACACATTATTTCTGTCTACAGATTGAACAAATAATAGCAATTTAGCTGATAATTGGCACAAATTGTCTTTTGTCTATAGCTACATGTTTCAGCTGCATGGAAGTGACTTCCATGTGCATAGAAATTATGTTTTGTATTTGATGTTGATGTTAACCTGCTGGTACCTAGATAAAAATTGTCTACAAAATAATGTTTTTACGTGCATCTTGTTCTAGAATGCACTTATAGTTAAATAACACATGACAGCCTGCCTAGATAGTTCCCACTTTTTATTTCTATAATAAAAACAAGTCCCTGGATGGGTAATTGGACCATGCACCATGACTCTCAGCTAAAGACCTGACACATCATGTACATGTGCATTTCCCCAACACCTGTAGAAAAGGACATGCAGTAGCAACATTTTTTGGTTATATCTACCGTATATATTGAACTATTGTTACATGCTCTAGGTGGGTCTATCTTTAAAGACTGAAAACTACAGCTGCTTCAGAATGCTGCTGCCAGGTTGTTGATAGGGATCCATTGTTCAAAGCATGTGATTCTGCAGCTATTTAATCTGCAGTGACTCCTGGTATGTTTATGAGTTCGATTCAAAGTGGTTGCTGTCACCATTGTGGTTTGTTTCCGGGGTATTTGAAGGACTACCTGTTCGCACTTGATTCTGCCAGCCGGTTAAAGTTTGAGGAAGATCTGCTCTGTATTTTCACCATTATCTAAATTGTGATTAGTGAATACACATGTTTTATGTTGTGGTTTTTGATGATGTCAGTCACATCCAGATAATTTAGTGAAGATGATTAAAGAACAGAACTTTAAAGCTTTCCAGAGCCATTTGAGAAATAAACTTGCATCCAACAATTAGAGAGAAGAAAGAGATTCAGAAACCAGGAGAGAGAGAGAGAAATGTATATAGTATGAAATTGCCATAAAAATGCAAGGTAGCAATAGGTAATACATCAAATAATGTAAATGTATTTACTTAAGAATAATAAATTACAGAACTATTTAAGGTTAACCAGTTCACCTTTTTAAAAAGAACAAAAGTACTTTTTCTGAAGAAAAATACAGAATTTCTGAAGTTATTTTGAAGACTCTGAGAACTTATTGTAAAATGCTAGAATGAATTAAGGCACTTATAAATGAATGCTAGAGGTGTTTTGGAGTTTATCTGGGGGAGGGAGAAAGAAAGTTGAGTCAAGTCCAAGGCAAAAACTCCAGCTGTAATGTCCTGCTACTGTCTGTGTTGCACCTTAATGCAATAAATTGTGGCTTAGAATAAGGCTGCATACACATGAGAATTTATTATAGACTCAATGAAGATTGAGTACATGTTTTTTCTAGGTAGTCCATACACAATCTAGATCCATTGTATATTTTTTGCCCCTGAAAAGTGCTTATTGAGAAACTGGTTTCATTCCAAGAATAAAAGCGCATTGTGGATTGATTCTGCATTACCTCACAGTGTGTTCATTTTGGAAAGAGAGATCTAAGTAGTCCCAGCAGTGTGTCCACATCTGCCCAATCACATTGTGGGTGGGCATATACCAATAATCGTCCACCCGGGGCATGTGCAGGGAGGAAAAATGTGCAGATAACCTAATTAAGGGAAGGGTTTTCAAATATGTATCAAGTAACTACACCCAGCCTTGTGGACAGCAGGATCTATAATCCATCTAGATTGAAAGCAGGATGTTGAGGACAAG